GGGAAAGGATGTTATTACATGTATGTTATTTTTGAAGGAAGAAATAATCAGGGAATCAAAATTTTAATAGTGTTAAGTAACTTGGAAAATATAACATTACTGTACATGTCCTTGAATCAAAGATATTAAATAAAATCATAGTTTGAATGGTGAGGTTAATTGACGAATTTTTATCTGTTAATAAAACATTTTAACAGAAAAGCAACATGTATGCAAATAAGGAAATGTGATTGACTGTATGTTGTTTAACGTCCATCTTAATAATGTTTCACTCATATGGAGACGCCACCACTTTACATTATAGAGCTGCAAATTTTGTACTATACTCGGCACTCTGGGTCATTCAGGAGAGAAGGATCTTTTTGTGTCAGCACCTTCTGCGACACGGGACCTCGATATAAGTCTCATTCGAAGGACAAGTCTCCATGTCCCACACTGGGATTCAAACCAGAGAGGTAAGGACCAACTCCTTACTTCGAGATTCTAGAGAAGACGCTCTAACCACTGCGCTACGCGGGCGACTGTAGGTAATGTACTTTGTCTGTTTTTTTTTTCAAATTAAATCCAGCAAAAAAATTTGCATAAAATGGCAACCAGAAGTTGAAAGGTTATTCCCTATACCCTTTTGACAATTCGAATGGCGAACCGCAGGCTGTCTCTCGGTTCCCTATTCAAATGACCGTTAATGTCCCAATATTTTATTTTAAAAAAAACTTGAATAACGCATTATAAGACGTGTTAAAGAAGCAAAGCAAAAGATAAAAAGAAGAGTGCGGACCCAACACCAATGTAGGTAGCCTGACTAAAATGAAGACAATGGAAATAATACACAGGTATCACTTATAAGATAACCTTATGCAAGAGTCCGACTAACAACCTGCATCCCATATCTGGACTTCATATATATACAGGACAGAGATAAAAAAAAAATACAAGTTACAAGACTGGAAAACTCTTTAGCTAGCTCGGTAAAAATTACAAAAACACATATAATAATAAACTTTTATTAGTATTTATGCATAAGGGTGCATTGTCCGAGGGGCTAGCTAACATCCTGGATCCCATATTTTCACGACCTTCTTATTTTGGCAGGGGAGTAGTCTGGAAGAGACCGTTCGACTCTCAAAAGTAATCGGTGTTACAGGACCGGGAACCTGTTCAGCTCGTCCGGTCAAAATTGGAAGAAAAAAAACGTATAATACTTTTAGTATGACTTTAGCTAAATACGAGGGCTGTTCAATAAAAAAATGTCCTGAACTGTATGACAAACAATACAGATATCATATGACATTAAGCTTGACTTTATCTCATTACTAGCATTGAATTTCTTTGAATTTATAACAGTTTATGTGACCACTTTTCATCACATAGTTTCATTGTGAGAAGCTGGAAAACAAGGGCTATTCGAGACACTGCATTATAAACTCATGGTAAAGAATAAGTAAACTAGAGTGAAAATAAACGCTTCATGAAAGCTGCTGTTAACTTGTTAAAAATCCCAAAGAAATTTTCACTGAAATATGTGACATTTACAGCAAGCAATGCCCGTTTTATAGACAAATGAGCAGGTGGATTACAATGATTAAAAATTATATAATGGGCTTCAAAAATGGGCATCGTTCTTGCCAACAAAAAATACAACAACCTTTGTACTGTTTGCCAAATATCAATAAATAATATTTGATGAAGTATGATTGACTATAAGCCACATAGCAAATTAAATAGACATCATTTCGGGAGTATTCTACACTGTTTATAAGAAACGTCTGACGGTAAAAATGCCTAATACTCAAAGGTCACCCTATATTTTGAAAAATGAATGAAAACGACAACATGCACGAATGTCTTAACAATTACTTAAAAATATCAGTAATTGTAGTTATCCACGTTTGTTTGATTTTCAATTAGATAATGGAACTTGAATCTATTGCTTAAAACCTTCAAAACAAAATTTACCATAAGATCCACTTGACGAAAACAGCGAAGGTCTGACAAGAGCAAAGAATTACAAGAGCACGTAGACAAATTTATATGCAATCTTCTTAAATATTAGTGGTATTGTTGTTCAAATTCGTATTCGGTGATACATTTTTATTTCTGGAGGAGGCTAGAAAACAATTTTTTCACAAAAATAGAAAGGTTTATTAGGGGAAGGACCCAGAATCAGGAATCCACTACATTAAATTTCTTCATCACAGCGACCAAACCCGCACTCCCTGAAGAGTAAAGGGGTTTTAGGGATAAACAGAAAGTTAATGTTTTTTCACATTAACAATATTCGCCAGATCTTTGACCTTTTGACCTCTTTCTATTTCCAAAAAATTGAAAAAAAAATCACCTTTCAGAAGGGAGAAACAAGTCCAGGAAATCATTGGATCCGCCATCTTCCAGTATACCAAGGGTCATACTCAAAAAGGAGTTCTAAATACAATCAGAAATTGGATCATGTGTTTTGATTAAAAGAGATAAATAAGTGAAAACATGAAGTCTAAATTTTTTGAAAAGCGTCTTTTGATTCTTTTCGAGCACCGAGAACATTATTTATTGAACAGTCCTCGTAGGTTCCCGGTCTTGTAACTTTTTTTATCGCTTTCCTGTAGAAATGAGAAGGTCTAGATATGGGATGCAGATTGTAAGTCGGGCTCTGGCAGAAGGTTTTCTTATTAGTGATATGCTATCCATTGTCTTCATTTTAGTCAGGCTATACATGAAGCTACATTGGTTTGGGGTCCCCAATCTTCTTTTTTAAGTGATGTCTTTGCTTTGCTTCTTTAATACGTTTTATAATGCGTTATTCAAGTTCTTTTTTTCTTTTTTTAAATTATTAGTTTGAATTGGGAACCAGGTGTCAGCCTCCGGTTCGCCATTCGAAAAGTCAATAGGGTAAAGGGGATAACATTCCAACTTCTGATTGCCGTTTAAAATGTCGTTTTAAAAATATGCTTTGAATAAATGTATTAATGCATATATTATGCATTTAACAAATATAAGCCTATTTCAGAAGTTTTCATCAATCAATGTCCCTCGATATCAGGGTGTATTTAAAAAAAATAATATTAGGCGCTTGTCTTTCAATACAGAATCCCCCCTAACATTGCCAGAGATGAGCAATTTCTTATTTAGCAATACACGTAATTTATTTTCATTGCTTAGATGTTTTTGTTTTGAATAGATATATGTACATGTATTTCTTAATAGTTGCAGTGGGTTTTTTTTATTAAAAAGAAAGATTTTAGTATGTACAATGTCTATATTATATAACAAAGTTGTTTTATTTAAGTAAAGTTATTCTAACATACCAATAACTGTAATCCATCCGTGTTTCCTTGTACACAGCGAATAAAAATGCAATGTTAGTTAAAGGTAACCTTCATTACACAATAGTGCAAGATCGATACAAGAGGAAATAAAAATATAACTTAGCGAGTGTAAGTACTTGTTTAGTATATTTTACTGTATACATTTATAGATATATGTTTATAATCAATTTGTTTTATAATTGCCTTGCATCTTTCCCTTTTTTTTTATTTTCCCTGCATTTCATTGTTTTATTTCTATTTCATATCCATACCAACCCTTTAATTGATACATCGAATTGGAATTTGCACGTGTTTATACATGTATATTTCTCCTTAAAAAGACATGCTAGTAGAACCTTTTTTTTTCAAAATATTTACTCAACCGGGCCGTTTTTCATATTTTGTGAGTGGCGGTGTGGAGGGGGGTATAATTCGACTTTATATTTTAATTTTTAGACTGTTTGCACACTCAGTATTTAAATAAAATACCTAAACAATCTTCTTTAACACAGAAATACCTGGTTCTTATTTAAAATGAGGCATTTAAGGTACTTGTTTACTCAGAAGGAAAAAAAAAATCTACTGATGATAATTTAAACTCGTCTATTAAATCAGCAAGACACACGTATGTATTGACAAAATCTACTTTAAAACATGTAGGTCAATGACCTACTTTTTTTGCTATTAGCCAATGAAATTTAAGCATGAATTCGCCATTGTAGATATGGATTTTTTAAGGTTACTTCAATCTTTTACTATAATTTTTCTTGCGGGCATGTAAGTGAAACATTCTACCATATCAATTTATAAATTAATGTGTTATCTTAAAAATAACAACAAAATTATTACAAAAATCAATCACGATTTTATTTTCTGTAACCCGAATTTCCTCTGTTTCATGACATTTTATGCATGTAAATAAGCCTGATTTCATTCAAATATTCTAAAAATTTGACTGATGATAACTCTTATTGGTTGTTTCATACATACAGAGAACATCTTATAAGAAATAAAAATTAATCACAAAGTGGGTGTCAATGATCAAAATTTTGAGATATTTTGTTACAAATAACCTGAATTTTCTCCGTTTCATGACATTTTCTGCATATAAATAAACCTTTGTCATTCAAATATTCTAAAAATTTGACTGATGGTAACTCTTATTGGATGTTGTATACAAACAGAGAACATCTTATAAGAAATAAAAATTAATCACAAAGTGGGTGTCAATGGTCAAAATTTTGAGATATTTTGTTACCAATAACCTGAATTTCCTCCATTTCATGACATTTCATGCATATAAATATACCTGTTTTCATTCAAATATTCTAAAAATTTGACTGATGATAACTGTTATTGGTTGATTTATACATATAGAAGTACCCTATAAGATATAAAAATGAAACATAAAGTGGGTGTCAATGATCAAAATTTTGAGATATTTTGTTATCAATAACCTGAATTTCCTCTGTTTCATAACATTTAATGCATAAAAAGGAACCTGATTTCATTCAAATATTCTAAGAAATTGACTGATGATAACTCTTATTGGTTGTTTTATACATATAGAAAGCATTCTAAAGGAAACAAAAATGAAACATAAAGTGGATGTCAATTGATTAAAATTTTGAGATATTTTGTTACAAATAACCTGAATTTCCTCTGTTTCATGACATTTTATGCATATAAATTTACCTGCCTTTATTCAAATATTCTAAAAATTTGACTGATGATAACTGTTATTGGTTGATTTATACATTTTGAAAGTACCCTATAAGATATAAAAATGAAACATAAACTGGGTGTCAATGATCAAAATTTTGAGATATTTTGTTACCAATAACCTGAATTTCCTCTGTTTCATAACATTTTAATGCATAAAAATGAACCTTTTTTCATTCAAATATTCTAAAAATGTGACTGATGAAAACTCTTATCGGTTGATTTATACATATAGAAAGCATTCTAAAGGAAACAAAAATGAAACATAAAGTGGATGTCAATTGATTAAAATTTTGAGATATTTTGTTACAAATAACCTGAATTTCCTCTGTTTCATAACATTTTATCATTATTAAACCTATCAGAACTTCTAGATTGTGCCTTTCTGAGACAATCAAAGTTTAGGCCACTACTGGTTACCTTCCTTGCCATTCTGACACTCGGAAGATTTTTATTAATCAAACATTGAAAGAATGGTATGTTTTTATCTACAACTTTCTGGTAGTTACATGTATGGACACTCAAAGCATACTGAAATGTAAATGTACAAGATGAATGTTCATCATCACAAAAATGAACAGTGTCATATGAACTTTTCAAAGCTGAAACATCTTCTACAGTATCATGTGCATTGTAAGTACATTTTAGTAACACTTCTGATAAATATTACCGGTTATATGAACACAAACTGGGATGGACAAGTTTGAATAGAAATCTGATAATATCTCAAAAAAAAAAACAACCTTGTACACATTTGACACTTGATAAAACAGTGAACAAGAATCTAGAGTATGAAAAAGAACATGAAAATCAAAACCTTTGATATTGTGGCCAACTAAAAATAGATTCCTTCCTTTCCATAAAGCTTAAAAAAGAACCAAGTGCACTTGAAATTGAAACAGGTTGACTTTCCTGTCATGGTGATTAGAGTTTTTTCTGCAGTCATGATCTTTGAGGTCTTTTCCATTTGTAGTAGCATTTTCAAAAATTGTGCAACATTTTGTTCTGAATTCATGACTTTGCCTGTCTGAGATTCAATCATGGAGCAATGACCTAAAAATATGTTTCAAATTAACATTTATGCAGTTTGAGTTATTAAAGGAATAAATTTGTTATATTCAATTTCATATACATTTATGAACATTTGTTATGAAATATATTTATTATAAAATATATAAATATTTTATAAAGAATTGGAATTTTACTTTGTTAAACATTAAATTCCTTTTAAAAGAAACAAGACGTGCTTGTGAAACACAACACGGTGGCAACTAAGTTCCAATAAGTTATTACTGGCATAAAGGTCACAGTCCAGGTCACAAGGTCATTGACCTTGGTGTCGTTTGAAAGAGCATAATTAGTGAGGTATGTATACCAAATATGAAGTCTCTATCTCCTACGGCAAAAGTTTGAAAAAGCTTATAAGTCACAGTCAAGGTCACAAGGTAATTGACCTTGGTGTCATTTGAAAGCTACAGCTTAATTAGTGGAGTGTTCAAAAGTCATGGTGAGGTAAAGGTTGACAACAGACAGACAAACAAACAGACAGACGAGACAAAAAACAATATACACCCTGATTTATCGATCTGGGCGCATAAAATGCTCAACATACCAGAGAGGCTGTCAAAGGATGGCCCACTGCCTGGTTTCTGCCAACCTGCATCAACACTGACTGTTAGCTCGACTGTACCTTTAATCCTTAAAAATCATAGAGACTGTCAGAAACTTGTCAGACCTTGATTGTGGTTGTTCTCTTAAAATGTACACTTTTTAAATCTGAAAATTACATGTATAGGATTTACTTCTTACATGTATGCTAAAGATGCATATATTGGAGAATAGAAATACAGTAAGCGAAGTCCCGGGGACCTGCGAATTTTAAAATTTACTATATCCATTATTGGTTATATCAGTATAACGAATTTGTATAACTGTATAAAGCAATTGCAATTTACACGTTTTCCATTAAGTATTTTTATAGAATATGTACGAAGAGCTGTTGTTACAAAACATTCCTTGGATAACTATGGTTTCATTATGAATTGAATTTTATACACAAATACTTGCCAAAAATAGTCAGTTCAATATATATCAATTTTTCAAAATTCATTAAAAAAGATGTGAATTTCATTTTTCTAGAAACCTCTACAGGAATCAAATCAGTTGACTATATTAAAAAATTTGTTACATCAGAATTCGTTATAACCATGTACCCGTAATTTTACAAAAAAATGTTCAGAATTTTTGCTGGGGACCCCGAAAACTTCACTATATATGTGAATTAACTATATACATATTCTTACTGAATGAATTTTACTGTAATAGAATTTTTAATGCCTCATCTATTAATTTTAATCCTGATAGAAACATTATAACTTCATTTAAATCAAATATATTTTACTGTCCTAAATATTCAAAAAAAAAAAAATCCTATTACAATGGACATTTTTTTTCTCTATGTACAGTACATACTTACAGTTGCCTGAATTTCATCATGAAGGCTGCTTCTGGTACTTTCTTCTGCAGTTTTCTCCAGAACTGGTCCTGTTTCATGTTGTCTGTTTTGCAGAGTCCAAGAACTGACTGGGGGGATATTTAATGATGTTAAAAGTGTATTCACCTGAGAAGGCCCCATGCCTGTATGCACCATTCCTATATAATTCGGATGCATTTATGAAATATAGAACAAATGATTTTTTTATAACAGGAAATTAACCTGGTGCTTTCATAATATATGTACTGTATAGTACGTATTAAAAAATAAATGCAAAATAAAATACGTACCTGTCCTGTGTCAGGTAAGCTTGGTATTTGCATTCCATATCTTTCCATGGTGCTTTCCAGTAGCTATTTTATTTATGTGTTGACATGTTGTATTCTGACACTGAACTTTCAGGAATAATACCAATTTAAACCAGAAGTTTATATCCCCATGGTATAAGAAAGATGGAGAGGAATGCCACAAACTCCACAACCTGCATGAGTAGCCATCTGCTAAGACCCCTAGTTCTACCAGCTTCTCCCTTTACTCAATGCAGTGTCATATCTTAAGACAGAAAAATGTGTTGTTATTGTAACTTAAGTTACATTGTCAAATTTATGCATTGATCACGCAAATCCTTTTTCAAAATTCCTAGAAGAATTTAAAAAAAAAAATGGCAGTCAATGTAATCATTACTAGTTTACATATCATTTTAATTTAGGCATTAAAAGTGATTCAGCAGTTGCCAGTTGATGTCACTGACACTGTACATCAGATTAGCAGCTGATGGATTTGGTTCGATTCTATAGCTAGGGTCTATCCCTCGATATCTTGATCAGTGTTTATCGGTTTATATACAGATGTACTGCTGTGTGCAATGATATTTGTGCCGAAAGATTTATGTATATTTAAAACATAGAGAACACAAAGGAAATAATAGATTCTAGTCTTATGCATTACCTCGACTTTTCTGTAGTTCAATGTTGAAGGAGACGGGAACGTCTCTACATGTAGGTTCTGGTACGTTGTCATCATCATCATGTCCAGTCTCACCCCCGGTAGATCGATTCACGTCATAGTTATGGTTTAAATTAATCCAAATTTCTACCCAACCATTCTTGACAAGTTAGAATTTTTTCTGTATTGCGATGTTTTCTTTGAAAAACCTTGTTTTTTTCTAGTTTGCCATGCTACATTGACGATGTCAGACGCCATTGTTTACATTTACCGCGCTGATGCGGAATATGTCGTAAACCGTATATTTTCGATAAATTATAAATATTAGAACATAAAAACCCATAAATATTAGTTTTATATGTAATGTTTTACTCTTATATATAGTTTTAAATACAAAACTATTCATTTACACAACTTGTCAAATTTACGACATTTGTAAGTACGGCGACCCGTTGTTGTTAAAATATGGTGAGTAAACAAGTACCTTAAAACATTCATTTGTATATTCCCAATATAAGAATGAAAAGAAATTAACTCTAAGTAACAAATATCAAATCCCTAGCTACTGATTGGACTCAAAATAAAATTAAACCATAAAAAAATAATTCCCTTTGTCTAAATTTATTTTCTTCTATTTACGCAGGACAAAAAAGCATCCAATAACACAAACACAGAATTTGTCTTTGCTTAAAAACAACAGTTTATAAACTTATGTTGAAAACTACATATCTTGTCATATTTTTTGTTATCATTTGTTACTTATATACATTTAACATAAACAATATCTTTATGGATATGGGATGCAGGTTGTTTGTCAGACTCTTGCATAAGGTTTTCTTGTTAGTGATACCTGTGTATAATATCCATTGTCATCATTTTAGTCAGGCTAGCTACATTGGTTTTGGGTCCCCATTCTTCTTTTTTAAGTGATGTCTTTGCTTTGCTTCTTTAACATGTTTTATAATTCAAGCTTTCTGGGAAAAAAATCAATAAGACATTTACGGTAATTTGCATTGGCAATCAGGTGACAGCCTCCGGTTTGCCATTCGAACAGTCAATAGGGGATAACCTTCCAACTTCTGATTGCCGTTTAAAATGTCGTTTTAAAAAAACATACTTTAAATAAATGTATCAATGCATATATTATGCATTTAACAAATATAAGTCTATTTCAGAAGTTGTACCAATCAATGTTAATTCCTCGATATCAGGATGTGTTATTAAATAAAAAATAATAATATTCGACGCTTGTGCAGAATCCTCCCTTACATCGCCATAGATGAGGAATATCTAATTTAGCAATACACGTAATTTCTATTCATTGCTATTATATAATTCGGTTTTGAAAAGATATACGTATCTCTCGTAGTTTATTTTATTGAAGAGAAAGATAGTTTTTGTATACTATACAATGTCTCTATTACATGTATATAACAAAGTGGTTTTATTTACGTTATTCACGTTAACTTACTACCATATCAATAACTGTAATAGATCCGTCTTTCCATGTACACAACAGATAAAACTGCAAAGTTAGATCAGTATAGACATGATTTAAAGGTAACCTACACATATTACACAATAGTGCACAATCAATAGAAGAGGAAATAATAACAAAACTTTGTGAATGTAAGTACTTCTTTATGTTTTACTATGCATAGATATAAAATCAACTTGTTTTATCAATGCCTTCTTTCGATCTTTTGTTTTTTTTTTATTTTACTTGCATTGAATTAGTTTATTCTTATTTTTCCATTAACGTCCTCTAATAGATATATGGATTAGGCATGTACAAGTATAATCTTGTTTATTTATTTAAAGCATGCAGGTAAAATAATTCGCGCAAAATATTTAATCAACCGGAATGTTTTCTTATTGTGCGTTTGTGGGAGGGGGGGGGGTGACGAGGGGGTAATTCAATGTTTTTGTTCAGATTGCTTACACACTCAATATATGAATTAAACAACCTTAACAATCTTCCTTTACACAAAACCTGTATCACAAGTATTACTTGGTAGAAATACCTAAGTCATAATAAGGCATTAAATTCAGATATACATTCTCAATAGAAAAATGAAAAGAAATTAACTCTAAGTATTAGATGCCCAATCCCGAGCAATAGATAAAACTCAAAATAAATTTAAAAAACAGAAACAAAAATCGTTTCCCTTATCTATATTTACTTGTCTTCTATTTACACAGGACAAAAAATGAATCCACACAAAATTTGGAAATTTTCTTTTGTTAAAAATAGCAACTTACATTGAATACTACATATAACGTAAATATTTTTGTCATTATGATCATTTATCACGGCTATAACACAATCAGTTACTTTATGGAATGTTTAAAGATGTCATAATTGACTTAGACTTAAATGTGTCAAAAAGGTTCACAAAAATTACAATATAATTACTTTTTTCCCTACTACCACTAATAATTAAATCGAAACCGGTTTCTTTATAATCTTATACCACGGAAGTAAGTTCATCAGCGATTGCTATGTGAAAGAAAAATGTATGCATAAGGAATAAAAAATGTAAAAAGACAAATAGAGGTGATAACATTTCATGATATTATTATCTTAAATAGATGACGAGTCTTTTGCTTTAAAAACAAGCGTTTTTGAAATCTTTGATACGCTCTTTATTCTGAAAGAAAAATTTAATGTTAATTTTCAATTTTTTTTTATACCAGAGCTAGTATTAATTATTTTTTTTTATATTTAAAAAAAAATAAATACTAATGTGCGTCGTTTCTTAGTTTTGGTTTTAATACGATTCAAGACAAACAAGAACTAAAAAAATAATGTTTACTAAAACTGTTTCTTTTCTGACTGCTGTGACCAGAGATGTTAAATTTATTTTCTTAGTCTTTTAATAATAAAAAAATGAAATTGTTTAATTCGTAAATATACTGTTTTCAATGGGTAATTTTAAAACATGTTCAAGAAAGCACTCATGAAAATGTAGGGATGAAACATTTCGAGTTTATTATCATATATTGCAGGGTCATTGAAGCAGCGTTAATATGACTGTGATACAACTGCTGGCGTATGTTGCACTACAGGTAGACAACACAAAGGTAATTGTAATATAATTAAATCATTTTATAATTAGTTAGTACCAATGAAATATGGAGATAACGAATATTCAAGTTCAAAAGTTCATTGCCAGCATGTACATCGGAAGCAGAGAAAACAAAGACAATTCAAACATGTCAAATATCAGAAAATGCAATAGAGAAGTTAGCATCTTTTAAAAACAAATCAAAGATGCCATGTGCTTCTTGTCAAGTTCGATAAAATCGTGATAAATAATGGACGAACAATTTAAACCGTCATTCAGCATTTGACTTCATAGTCCTCATATACCTCAACAATCTTCTTTAACACAGAAATACCTGGGTCTTAATCAAAATGAGGCGTTTAAAACATTCATTTGTATATTCCCAATATAATAATGAAAAGAAAAGAACTCTAAGTATCAAATGTCAGATCCAGAGCTACTGCTTAGACTCAAAATAAAATGAACCAAAAAATCATTCCCTTTGTCTTTATTTACCTTTTTCTATTTATACAGGACAAAAAAGCATCCAATAACACAGACACAGAATTTGTCTTTGCTTAAAAACAACAGTTTATAAACTTATGTTGAAAACTTCATATCTTGTAATTATATCTATTATCATTTATCACTTATATACATGTAACACATACAATATCTTTATGGATATGGGATGCAGGTTGTTTGTCAGACTCTTGCATAAGGTTTTCTTATAAGTGATACCTGTGTATTATATCCATTGTCATCATTTTAGTCAGGCTAGCTACATTGGTATAGGATCCCCTCTCTCCTTTTTTAAGTGATGTCTTTGCTTTGCTTCTTTAACACATTTTATAATGCGTTATTCAAGTTTTTGAAATTTACAGTAATTTGAATAGGGAACTAGGTGACAGCCTCCGCGGTTCGCCATTCAAATAGTCAACAGGGAATAGGGGATTACCTTTATACTTCTGATTGTCGTTTAAAATGTCGTTTTAAAAATATACTTTAAATAAATATATCAATATAAGCCTATTTCAGAAGTTATTATCAATCAATGTTCCTCGATATCAGGATGTGCTACAAAATAAAATAAAATAAAATATTAGGCGCTTTTCTTTTAATATAGAATCCTCCCTTACATTGCCATAGATGAGCAATTTCTAATTTAGCAATGTACGTAATTTATTTTCATTGTTAATATGTATTTGTTCTGAATAGATACATGTATATGGACATGTATCTTTTAATTGTTGCAGTAGTTTTCTTTAATTGAAAAGAAAGATTTTAGTATGTACGATGTCTTTATTATAAATCAAAGTTGTTTTTATTTAAGTTAACTTACTACCATAATAATAACTGAAATCCATCCGTGTTTCCTTGTACACAACGGATAACAATACAATGTTAGATAAGCATAGACATGATTTAAAGGTAACCTTCATTACACAATAGTGCAAGATCGATACAAGAGGAAATAAAAATATAACTTAGCGAGTGTAAGTACTAAGTCTTGTTTAGTATATTTTACTTTCTACATTTATAGATACATGTTTATTATCAATTTGTTTCATGATTGCCTTTCATCTTTCGATTTTTAAAAAATATTTTCCCTGCATTTCATTGGTTTTTTTCTATTTCATATCCATTACCGTCCTTTAATTGATACATCGAATTGGAATCTGCTCTTGTTTATACATGTATATTTCTTTCATAAAAAAGCATGCTAGTAGAATTTTTTTTTGTCTAAATATTTAATAAACCGGACCGTTTTTCATATTTTGTGAGTGGCGGTGTGAAGGGGGGGGGTATAATTCGACTTCATATTTTAATTTTTAGTCTGTTTGCCCACTCAGTATTTAAATAAAATACCTTAGCAATCTTCTTTAACACAGAAATACCTGGGTCTTAATTAAAATGAGGCGTTTAAAACATTCATCCGTATATTCCCAATATCAGAATGAAAAGAAATGAACTCTAAGTATCAAATGTCAAATCCCGAGCTACTGATTGGACTCAACATAAAATGAACGGAAAAAAATCATTCCCTTTGTCTATATTTACTTTCTTCTACTTACACAGGACAAAAAAAGCATCCAATAACACAGACACAGAAATTGTTTTTGCTTAAAAACAACAGTTTATACTCTTATATTGAATACTACATATCTTTAATTATTTTTGTTATCATTTATCACTTATATACATGTAACATAAACAATATCTTTTTGGAATGTTTAAATATTTCATTATTGTCTAACACTTCAATTTAAGTTACATATCTAAAGGATAATGTTAGACAAATTGACGTTCCTAATTATATATAAATTTAAAAAAATGTCCCAGCACAACGGTCGAGTTAGCTACTAAATTAACAGGCCACCGAGCATCAATCCATTGTGACCCGTTTGATACAATCGCACCATCTCGGGTCTTTCCGTCAGAGGTCGAAAAACAACCTCGAGATCGTTTTTCCGCTAGTCGGAAAGGCCCGAGAAGTTGCGATTGCCGTTTGATATCATCATCACTTTACTCAAATTCCATAGCCTGACCTAGACTATCAAATTCCACTATTCGATACCTGTTGTGTCAGTCGATAGAAAGAGATACTATTTTTAGGCAAACAGGGCTTTTAAATTTAGAGGGTACATGTTTCACCTACGCTCGATCGGTAAATCTGTCAGTTGACTTAGGAACCCCAACATGGATTCCCCTTCTAGTCAAGGTATATTTACATTAATGATATTCATGAATTCTGTCGTCATCTCTGCACCACAGAAATTCTAGAACAATTAAAGCTCTTCCTAAGGATTTTATTATTTAATACCGATGTGCTTGATGGTCGATTGGGGCTATTCTAATCAATTCCATTACTAACGAATTTACAAAATTATAGTTTGTTGTTCCATTATAATATAATAATACAATTTACTTCAACGATATAATTAAAGTACTTGAAATTGAAGAGTCTTTTCCTGTTACACATACAAGACACTGTAATTAATACATAATTTATGTCCGTGCAGGTTAACCTTTTTTAATATATTCGATCAGTGCATACTATTAGTGCAAGATGTATTACTGTAGTCAGCGGCGACTCACACAAATTGTTCCGACGAAAATAGTTCCATCATTAATAAGTAGATACAACAAAATTGTTCATGATAAGAATAATGTTGTGTATGTCATACGTAAGAGTCACAAAAATTAATGTTAATTTTTCCTCCAAAGATCACTTTCCCCCCTAAATGCAAATAAAAAATGTTAATATTCCTACGCTCGCTCCCTCCTCAGCTCTTTTTTAAACGTTTGATAACAGAGAATATATTATTATATAGGTCATTATTCAGTTGATATTTTTTCACTGATGAATTGATTATACTAATATCAACAACTGTAGTAAAATCATGTTAATTGTTCGTTATTTATCATATAGTTTCATCTAAGAGAAAAAAAAATAATCAATCTGTGTGTGTAGTATATTAAATGACGGAATTTTCAATCCCTGAGCAGATTCCTGAAAGTTTGTAGACAAACTACACATCGGGAGAGTACCTGTAAAATGTGTAACAAAACCCGAACTGGCCGGGGATTTCTAAACTGACAGTCGTTTAATTTTTTAGAATCAAAATTTGTATTCATGTGATCTAATTATGAAAAAAAGTTCTGTCTGCCATAGTAACTTCTCTTTTCGCGGGAGTCCGTTTGACAACTCCATCGCACGTGTGTATAGACCAAGGCTAACTGGTCTTGCGGACATAGGTATTTGTACTGTTTGTTAGCATGGTTAGGAGACTGGGTGACCGTAATGCTACGGACTTACGAAATTTACACAAGTTCTATAACTAGACAGTGCAGTTTTATTTTTATAAACGTCATTAAACACTTAAACATATTAAATCTAAAAGTCGAATATCTTTGGATATGGGGTAACCCATATCTATTCTTGTTTAAAATTTGATGCAACTAATTAATAAGCCCATAATTATTATTTAAGATGATTGGGAAATACAAAAAATTACGTTTTTTATATACACTGTAGGTACGAACAGGTATTATATACAAAGTAAGATTGAGCTGATTCAATACTATTGGCATGCAGAAAATACATGGGAACAAATTAAGAAGAATTATATGCGTGGCCATAAATCAATTCTTTGTTTGGACACAGAATCTTTCTCTCACAGGAGTTCGCGTACCTATCAATTTTACCGAAATTTTCAGTAAATAAAAAAGATACGTAATATCCTACCTATAATAATCACACAAGCAGTGCAACGCATTTTAGGTCACCTGGCTACCCCTCGCTTAATATCAAGGCTGTAGCACAATTAATCTTCAATCGAAAATTATAAAACACAAACCAATCTTTTTGGAAGGGACCATTCTTTATGGCTCTTAATGCGTAAGATTTCAAACTCATGTTTTACAGCAGCAGCGGTGACATTTCTCCACAACTTCGCTCAAATATCCTTTGTTCGCGACGCCATGACGTGACGTCACGGGCGCGTCCATTTACCCAAAAAGGAACAAAACTGCCTGAAATGCTAATCTACATGATTGAGGTCATATGCGAAAATAAACCAGAGACAAGTTAGTAGACATTCAAGAAAATTTAAAACGGGGAGGTACAAGTACTTGTACTCGTATCTAAACGTAATATCGTTACCTCTAGTTAATAGTGTATGATTGTTTATCTTTGTTCCTTTTGGGTAAATAGACCGCCCGTGACGTCACGTCATGGCGTCGCGGACAACCGTTGCACTCCTTGTGTTATTATTATAGGTATTACGTATCTTTTTTATTTACTGAAAATTTCGGTAAAATTGATAGGTGCGCGAACTCCTGTGCTTTCTCTTGTCCTATTTTATTCAAACTGTAGAATACATACAAACATATTTGCATATTCAAACAAGCAGAGTTTGAATCATACGTTAAGTTTATTTTTTCTTTTTATTTTCACATTTCTTTAAAAAACGAATGAAAAAATAAATTATAGATAAAAAATTTAAGCTATGAAATATAGAAATAAATGTGTATTTACGTTTTTCAAGAAAAAGTTTTTAATTCTCCTAGTTGTATATTTAATAGGGAGGCCCGGGTTCGATTCTTGATCGCGGCGCCGCGTCATACCTAAGACCTTAACATAGATAGTGACTGTTCCTTCGCCAAGCGTTCGGCACTAGAAGTGAAAGTCACGGGTATTTCGGATATGACCTTAAAAACGTAGGTCAAGTGTCACGGTAGGCGTTGGCACGATAAAGAACCATCACTGTTCAATGGCCCTGAGTTCCGAGTAAATTTGAAGCCCTTCACCGGCAAACGGTGACGTCTCCATATGAGTGAAAAAATCTCGAGAGGGACATTAAACAATATACAATCAATCAATCAATCAATCTACGTTGTTGTAAATTCTTTGTGTTTTTCTCACTTACTATCGTAAAAACACTTTTTGCCAAGTTATAGGGTATCGCTCTCTTGGTGTAGTTTGGATAACATGAACCGAAGTGTGAATACTGATGTGTATCACTGACCTTATAATATATATCAGTAGTTATCCTGTTATTCTTTTTCTCCACCAACACATCCAGAAATTTTTTTTTTTTTGTCATTCATCTCTAACGTGAATTGAATATTGGAGTTTAACCTATTTAGTATTTCGTGTAATTGCGTTAATTTTTCCATATCGCCGTGCTAAATAATGAGGCAGTCGTCCAGGGATAGTATCCAGTAATTGACTGGGTCTATATGTAGGTGCATTATGTCCTCCTACTATCGGTCTGAAACTCATGTCTACAGGATCTAGACAGATGATGTATTCCTTATTTTGATTTTTGATAGCTTCCTTTATCATTTCAATTTATGCACTTAAGGAAGTCCATAAAACTGACTGTCGCGGAAGTTGATTGATTGATTGTATACTGTTTAACGTCCCTCTCTAGAATATTTCACAGACGTTACCATAGCCGGTGAAGGACTGCAAATTTAGGCCTATGCTCGGAACTTACGGCCTTTGAGCAGGGAGGGATCTTTATCGTGCCACACCTGCTGTGACACGGGGCCTCGGTTTATACGGTCTCATCCGAAGGACCGCCCCATTTAGTCGCCTTTTACGACAAGCAAGGGGGTACTGAGGACCTATTCTAACCCGGATTCTCACGGGACGAAGTTGAAATTGATTAGACAGTCTTTCTATTTTTCTTTTACGTCTGGGCCCTAAGGGGTCCATGCATTAGATTTTATTTTCTTCATGGTTTTTCATTATTTCCATTGATTTGTCTGTAAAAGTTGTTATTCTGCAACATGTCCATAATTTTACTTTTGTAAAAATTATTGTTCATGATAACAATTGCGCCGCCTTTGTCGGCCTCCTTGATTACGATCAGTTCCTGATTAATCGTAATATTTTTAAAAATATAAATTCAACTTTGTAAACTACTTATACGTGTACTACATTCTACATCTTCTTTTCTTATTTTTTTTATATCTAAAAAATGGTGACTAAGCTTATAAAGATGGCTGAAATGAACCACAATTTATTTTACATTTTAAGTCCGGGTGGAGGCATTGTCTGATACTCATGGGTGATCACGTCTTGAGTAAAAGACGAGATCACCCGTAGGTATCCGACTATTAGGGGTTATGGGTGATTCCAGATAGAGGACGTTCGAGATCATGTAGCAGATTCTATGTTTACCACGGAGTTATAAAAAACATCAAATATTTACAGAGTATATAACCGGTGTTGCTGTTACTTTAATAATATAGAAATTTCTATTTTCGACTAATATAAGAATATTAAACTATTTCTGAATGTATTCAAGAATCTCTCATGAAACATTGAAAGAATGAGAAGGGGGCAGTTCTCATCAATTATTTTAATCACAGCAATATTTATCATGCATACTCTGCTAAAACTATTTTTTATTTAAAAGAAAGTGTGAGGATTTTTATAAGAAAACTTATAGAATTATTACTAGACTTGCATATATCAAAAGATTTCAAATTATTTGCTTCCATTGTGACATTCTAACTGCTCATCTCCCTCTCATCCACTTCTTTTTAAAAAACCATACAGCAAATATTTGATTCTTTACATATGACACCGTGACATCGTGCATGTGGCGTCAATACTGTAAACAAACTTTTATTCGCGACGACTTTATTTCGCAATTAAGCTGGGATAAACCAGTTCGCAAAGGTTAATTTTCGCAATGAAGCCTATTTTGGATCTGGTGTTTGTTGAAACAGAGACATTAAGGATCGATTCGCGGCGAGAAATATTTGCAAAAATAAGGCTCTCGCAAAAATCGCAAAAATTTCTCGCTCGCGAATAAAATTTGGTTTACGGTGAAAGATGGATATGGAGATAACGAATAGTATTCAATCTCAATGTCCATAAAACAATACAAAATAGGAGCAGAGCAAACACAAACCTCCAAAACATCAGAGGTGGGATCAGGTGCCATGGAGGAGTAAGCATCTCCTGCTGACCGATCACACCTGCCGTGTGCTCCTTGTCATGATCGGAAAATAACGGGAAAATCCGTCGTCAATTCAGCATGTATTATTATGTATTAGTATGAAAAACGTCAGTCAGCATTTGACTTAATGATAAATTGTATTTGCTGACAAGGTCATTGTATCGACCATAGAACTTACGAAATGATGACTTTTAACGAGACTGCTGATATTCTTGTTTTATCAACTTGCTTTTCAATAATTTACCTCGTTTTTAGAAATTGTTCATACATAGAGCATGCTCTTGCGTATCATAACTGAGCTAAAGATACTCCGTTTGCAGATGATGTGTCATTAGAATTCTCAGGCCCATGTAGTTAGTTAGAGAACAATATTTTGCAAGCATTCCCCTAGAAAAACTAGCATATATATTTTTATTGAACTATTATGCATATGCTTTTTTATTGTGTCAGTCGACCTAAGTAAATCGATATATTCAATTCTAACGCCTCAATCGATATTTGTCATATCGAAATATAAGTCGGCATGACTTTAAGCAATAAAATCTATAATACAGCAAAACACTTTAGATCGTGTGAAAATACCCTGATACAATACACAAATGAATGCAAATAAGAAGTCGTAATAGATTAATTGTTGATAAGACAATAAAAAGTAAGACAATATACAAAGATATAACACAGCAAGTGTAGAGAGCCTCAGGCTTCTGTACACCTCATCGTTCATCATTTTGCTATAATGATATTTGAATAAAAGAGGATTGGATGTAAAGATCATATGAATGTTGTATTTTTTTAAATTTTATGTACAGTGTATGATATTTTTTATTTCAGGAGTCTATAAATACCTGAATGAACAACATGATTCTATTCCTGATTTTTGTGTGTTTTGTTCAGGAATCATCTTCAATTAAGGTAATCTATAAATCAAATTGTTATTTAAAGGATTTCTCAAGTGCGTAATGAGTTTTGTTTACTTCCCAAATGACTATTAACCCTCTTCCCCGTTGTTAGACATCTAAAGGCATATACCGTTTCCCATTTCTAACGCAAAATCACGCATATATATACTTTTTTCCGGCAATCACGCATTTTCACGCACTTTATCTATTTTATACTTGCTTAGATCTCATAAAAAAAGAAAAGTTATTTTCGTATTAAAATATTACGTCATAATATTATTTACGCTTAACTTTAGAGAAACTTATACCAGGCTATAGTGGTTGCGGGAAAACGATTACGTCATATTTCTGTGACGTGACATAACGTGTATTTTGCATAACAATTCAGTAAGTCGTAAAGAGTTGGTGAAATGACAACTAGAGATAAGCTATCAAAACCTACACCGTTGCACGGGTACATATCCTTCTCTGAATACGGCTTCATATCTGTTTTATATTATATAATTATGGAGTTGATAACTAACATTGTTTAAAGGTGCATGGACACAGATCTAGATTTGAAGTTAGTATTTTCTGTATAATATCACTACTTATATATTGTAATAGCATTTTACACAAAAATACTATTTCATCTTAAAGTTATTGAAACTTTAAATTTTTGGTTGGGTTTGATTGACACATCATTGTACTCTTACCAATTTTACATTTTTCTAAATACTTAGGAAAAGTGGCAATCTTGTTGTATATTAATGAGATATATTAAGTCTTTAATCCAGAAAAACAATTATATTCAGAATAGAATTGTTAGAAAGCAAAACCCCTTTTACAAGTATCGTCATTCCGCGCTAAATGTTGTGTACAGATTAGCAAATTGATCACACCCGTGAAACGTACACACTATGTAAAAAAGGCACGAACTCTGTTATTGTTAATGTTTACGAATCACCTGGTGCGTTCAATTGTTAATGTATGTTCACCACTAAAGCACGGACTGACAATATACTGTGCGTTTGTTTTACTTTCGAACATTTCCATTCTGAATTTCTGTATTTTAGTTTTAATATTTTTTTATTTATACACAACAAGATTGCAACTTAACCTAAATATTAAGAATAAAATTAAAATTTGTGAAAGTGCATGGATGTGTCAATCAAACCCGTCTAAAAAAAATAAAATGTTCATAACTTATATTATTTATTGAACAGCCCTCGTAAAAGTGCAGTTATCATTTTAATATATTGTATTTAGAATTGGGTCAACTGGATTGGGATTGAACCCGTATTCAGAACGGGTTTTAGAATGAATTTTTATGAATTTTTTTTTATTATCAAGGGATTCAAATTTTCGAATTTTCCATTTAACGTAACACCTGTTACACAATGCCCACGTAACAGAGAAGAATGGGAAGCTGCAAGTGTAAGACTACAGTGTACACGTGACGAAGGATATCACTGTGTTGCAGAGTACTCGATAACTTCGCTTATAGAGTTCTGTTATCCACTAGGAAATTGGATTCTATTTGAAAAAGGTAAACTGATCAGGAAGAGAATTGATAATCAATTAGCCTTATAATTATTTTGGAAAGCTTGATAAATTTCTTGTTTATACAAATTGTAGGAAATTGTCCAGTACTATCATCGACAGGACGATTAAACAACGTCAAGTGCAGTAATTTTACATTTGGTTGCCCTGACAAAACACATTACAGCAATGAAATTTTTAATTGTAAGTCTAAGATATAATACATTTTGTGATCTCCTATCAAATGAGAACACTAAACTAGAGGTACTGTGAGCGATGAGCTCACTAAATTATACCCCCCGCCTCCCATATGGTTGTAACTGGTGAAAAAGTCCATGTTTTCCTGTGACCGGGAAACCCAAAATATGTGTCGGATCAAAAAGTAAAATAGGAGGTGCACAATGGCAATATGTAATAAAGATTCTGTGAAAGTTTCATCAAATTTCATTCAGTGGTGTGAGAGGAGTTGCGGATAAGAGATGGGTACCCCAAAGCGTAACAGACGGACGGACGGAAAGACGGACGGACGGAATTAACGATTACTATATACCCTCCCGCTTTTCAAGCGGGGGGTATAATAATTGCTACTTTACTTTTTCCTGCTGCTTTTACACTACAGATCCAGCTTGTTTGATGGTAGTGTTTGGCTGTTTCTCGACCGACTTAATATGCCTAGATGAAAAAATTTCGAAAGGAAAGTGAGTTTATATGCATATGCTTGAAATTTTAATGAAAGATAACTATAAATGGTTGCGTAAATATATACATAATTTTAGTTAATGTATATCATTGAGGGAGTTAGCAAGGTTCCAGCTCCCCTCGACCTCCGGCTGCGCCTCGGGAAATAGTCTTGGCTTTGGGGAACTGGATCGAATCTTGCTAACTCCCTCAGTGATATACTTTCAAATGTTTTTTAATACCAATACAAACGTAAAATTTAGATGATTCAGATAGCGTGACTTCAAAACAGGGATAAGCTAATTGAACTAGCACAGGGGGGGGGGGGGGGGGGGGGGGTTAGTAAATTAACATTTCATACCAAAGTAAAACTAAAATCTAGAGGATTACGGATAATAGGGAATTAATCATTTTTAACGATCTAATATTATATAGGAAAAAATCAGTATAGAGGTTTTAAAAAATTATTATAAATTCAATATATATATGATCGAAAATGACATTATTAGCAAATAAAGCTTTTCATTGGGCTGTAAATTTCATACATTTTATTAAGCCATTGTTTCTGTAAAAGATTTAACCATAAATTTTTTCTCATAATCCTGGTCAGTTTGTAGGCCTCACGGTCCATTAGGGTTTAATCAGTCAACACTGGATGCTTTGTCCTCCTTTGCACTCGAATTTCCAGATTCCGGGTTTTAGGTCTTGTTCACAAAGGATGAGGTGACATACGGCCCCCGGTAAACTGACAAAAAATTGAAATGTCCAAATGTTACTCTTAGTTTTGCTTGTAACTAGACACTGACATATGCATCCTAATGGACTATTGGTACTTTTAACAAAAATAGAAACGTAATTTGGAAAATGCAGAACTTTCATTTTGGTAGGGCAACCATGTTTACATCCAATTCCTATTATAAACAAACCAAGGAAAGTTTTTTTGACGAGAGAATAAATTCGTACGCTAACTTAGACAACGGCATCTTACTGAGCAATCGGCTGAGTTGCATAACGAGTGAGTTTATTACAAAATTACTAAGATGAAAATTAATGCTTGAAATAGGAACTTACTAGTATTTTACTTGCTTTTCGATTTTATATGATCGCAGACTAAATGCAAATCTCAATTTTTAGTTTCATTATTACAAATATTTTATTTATTGAGAATTTTTTATAATATTGTAAGTCAATTAATGGACAATGTTCCCGAGCATCAGTAAAAACAAATTTAATGTGCAATACTTGGTTCCTGAGGTTCAAGGAATATTGTCATGCATATAAATGATTTGTTGACCATTAAAATTTAATACTGAGATGTAGTGGGAATTATGTGTTAATTGACCTTTACCGCCTGTCTGTGATAAAATATAAGCATCTACTTAGGCAGCATGTTTTGTCATTCATTCATCGGATTGGGTTATTGTTCTCTGTAAGCGACATTATAACAATAGCCATACAAGAAAGGTTCCTGGACATTCCTCTATTCTACTACGACCCGCCTAATCTAATCATCTTTATACATAAAGGAACATACGGTCATCCCTATTTCATTTTCCTTCATTCTAAAGAACACATCTCTCCAAGTACTGGTCTAGAAGTGGGATTGTAATCTGCACATTAAGATCAACTTCTTATTCTGCTTCCCTAGAGCGAACTCTCTCACCACTCTGTCACAATGACGACGTGTGAGGGTGTCTATGTAAGGATGTGGAAGAGTGTGTAAGTGAGGGAGGGTGTGTGAGTAAGAGAGAAAGATAGAGGTTGAGTGAGTGTATTTTTCAGGATGTATCTATCTTTAATAAATATGTTTTTAAAATACATGTTGTTTCTCCTGAAAACTTTGAACAAGATGATTCTTTGATATTTTTAACTTGAAATATGAGTTTACAATATATATTCAGAATGTAGGTGTTTCTCTGTTTTGTTTCTGAAAACTTTGAACAAGTATTATATACATGTATATCACCCAAAAGACAAAAATATCTTTGGACTTACCGTGATGGCTTTGTTTGTTATGGAACATTAAACAGAATACTGAATGGGTAGGCGTTACGCCATTGGCTGAAATCAGGTATTTAATTGTTTTCATTTTAAAGTAAAATTAATGACCTTTGAAATAAATGATGGGATGAGGGAATATTACAGAAACTATAGAAATACCAGGGAAGATTTTAGGAGTGGGGGTTGATTTTTTATGCCGCGTGTTATTTACTGCGAATCTCTATAAGTTGAAAATAACTGCAATTTTGACCTATAAACGCCATGGGACCATATATTTTTTTCAGTATTTTTTGTTAGGGCTTAGAACAAAGTTTGAAATGATGCTAAAGATTTTTCTGAAATTGTCATAGTAAAGTACTGAGAGGGCCTAAGGTTTGTATGGAGTTCTATGGGAAAATAATTAGTGGTCTTTTCCCTATAGAGACCCCAATTTTTACACTTTAAAGTGATTTGAAAGTCATGAAATGTTATTTTTTGCTAATTATTTGAAGATTGATGACATTTCGAGAGAAAATTTAGCAAAAATTTGAATTAGTTTACTGCGGTAATGGGGTTAGTGGTGATTTGGGTCTATTAAAGAGAGGAGGGGGGGGGGGGGGGGGGGGTAAGAGAAGATAGAAATTAGTAAAGTCCTGTACAGTTGACATGGTCAAAGGAGGAAGGTAAGTTAAGAAAATGTATTAGATTGTTCTTAAGATGAATGATTGTATGTATGCATAGATTTATGTATGTATTTTGCATGTACATGTGACTGTGTATTTATTATGTTTTGCTCTATCTGTATATATTATGGAAGTGTAGGACAGTGACCTGGTGTTCATTTTTTTTAGTTTCTTAGACTTTTGCACTTTTGTCATTTTTTCAAATAATTAAGGTGGCACATAAAAGGAATTTTTGTGATGGACAAGTGAAAGGAGGACATTTTCTGTCTTGTCATCTCATGTTTGGTAGTGTATGTGTTCCTCTGGATTGCCCCCCCTTTCTTGGCTGCAGGGTGATTAGTTTGTAGTTTTGTTGTTTCTATGTTGTAGCTACACAAAGGTCTATGTTTTTTCTTTTTTCGCTCTTTGTAGTTTCATCAGAATTACTCGCTGTGACTCACTTTCTAATGGTTTCTAGTTTTTGTACTTAGAGTTACTTCCCTTAGACCTGCTGACCAGACAGGCAGAATTTCAACATGATGATATCTTAACAGTTGTGACCTTTGGCTTCTGATTTTTTTTCATAAATTATTGTAATGACCTTGAACTGCATGTATGACATTTGACCTTTATTATATTTACATGTAATATTATGTAATATTGAAAAAACATGTATTCCACCCTTGGCGGATCCATTTTTCATACATTTAGCTATGTAGAAGACATGTAATTAAGGAAATTTTTGTAAAACTTAAAAAATATTGTTGTTTCTTTCATGATTTATGCTTAATTTGACTAATTTTATTGATTTATTTTCATTTAAGCACTTTAGAGGAATTTCATCTTTCAGCTTTCTTGGCCCCGGGAGTGCTCGGTCTCTGATCAGCAGGGGCATTTTCTCTATATAAGAAGAAAATGGAGACTCCCTACCCACCCGATGTATTTTGTCGGACAGTTTTCTGTACATTGCAGGTAAATTTTTTATTTATTAACTTTCCAGCCTCTTATTGTATAGTACATTTTGGGGGTTGAAGTCAGTTTTTGCTTTTCTTTAATTTAAAAAAAAAATTATTTAAATTCTCCTTTTCTTAGCATGAAATTCAAAAAGTAGCTTCTGATTGTAATGTATAAGACTACAGATATTGAACTTTGATTTGTTATCAAAAGGATTGATTTAAACTTGTCTAAATTAATTGTAAACAAAAATAAAAGGGGGCACCTGCTATTTCTTTAAGTGTTTTTCACTGGGGGGTGGGGAAACTTTTTTGTACATACTTAAGCAATAGGAGGGATTAGATAAGAATCAATTAGTATATCAGAGTCTTAAATAATTTACTTTGCATAAGCATAAAAAAATTCTATATCAGTCTTTTTAAAACCTTTGAATTTTGCTTAATTAACTATGATTTATCCAATTTTGGAGCTTTTTACCTAATTCTGGGTAGAATCCACCCTTATGAAATTATTGACTCAATTTTGACTTAATATCACTTTATTAACATTAAAACACAAAAACAATTCATTGTACAAATATTTTATTTATTACAGTCACCAATATATCCAAATATCATCACCGGCCCAGACGTCATTCACTCCTTTGAACTGTGCTGGTAGCAGTAAGGTGTCATCATTTGAGATGGTCACAGTATCCAATACACTGAAGTCACAGGACTCAAATTTCATACATGTTCACAGGTAGGTGTATAGTCTTTGAAATTACCACAATTGACTAATTCTGGGACAGGTAAGTATGTAAGTATAGGAATGAGAGCACCAAATCCCCGGATGCACACATGGCTTTGTTTGTTATGGAACATTAAACAGAATACTGAATGGGTAGGCGTTACCCATTGGCTGAAATCAGGTATTTAATTGTTTTCATTTTAAAGTAAAATTAATGACCTTTGAAATAAATGATGGGATGAGGGAATATTACAGAAACTATAGAAATACCAGGGAAGATTTTAGGAGTGGGGGTTGATTTTTTATGCCGCGTGTTATTTACTGCGAATCTCTATAAGTTGAAAATAACTGCAATTTTGACCTATAAACGCCATGGGACCATATATTTTTTTCAGTATTTTTTGTTAGGGCTTAGAACAAAGTTTGAAATGATGCTAAAGATTTTTCTGAAATTGTCATAGTAAAGTACTGAGAGGGCCTAAGGTTTGTATGGAGTTCTATGGGAAAATAATTAGTGGTCTTTTCCCTATAGAGACCCCAATTTTTACACTTTAAAGTGATTTGAAAGTCATGAAATGTTATTTTTAGCTAATTATTTGAAGATTGATGACATTTCGAGAGAAAATTTAGCAAAAATTTGAATTAGTTTACTGCGGTAATGGGGTTAGTGGTGATTTGGGTCTATTAGAGAGAGAGAGAGGGGGGGGGGGGGTAAGAGAAGATAGAAATTAGTAAAGTCCTGTACAGTTGACATGGTCAAAGGAGGAAGGTAAGTTAAGAAAATGTATTAGATTGTTCTTAAGATGAATGATTGTATGTATGCATAGATTTATGTATGTATTTTGCATGTACATGTGACTGTGTATTTATTATGTTTTGCTCTATCTGTGTATATTATGGAAGTGTAGGACAGTGACCTGGTGTTCATTTTTTTTAGTTTCTTAGACTTTTGCACTTTTGGCATTTTTTCAAATAATTAAGGTGGCACATAAAAGGAATTTTTGTGATGGACAAGTGAAAGGAGGACATTTTCTGTCTTGTCATCTCATGTTTGGTAGTGTACATGTGTTCCTCTGGATTGCCCCTCCCCCCCTTTCTTGGCTGCAGGGTGATCAGTTTGTAGTTTTGTTGTTTCTATGTTGTAGCTACACAAAGGTCTATGTTTTCTCTTTTTTTGCTATTTGTAGTTTCATCAGAATTACTCGCTGCGACTCACTTTCTAATGGTTTCTAGTTTTTGTACTTAGAGTTACTTCCCTTAGACCTGCTGACCAGACAGGCAGAATTTCAACATGATGATATCTTAACAGTTGTGACCTTTGGCTTCTGATTTTTTTTCATAAATTATTGTAATGACCTTGAACTGCATTTATGACATTTGACCTTTATTATATTTACATGTAATATTATGTAATATTGAAAAAACATGTATTCCACCCTTGGCGGATCCATTTTTCATACATTTAGCTATGTAGAAGACATGTAATTAAGGAAATTTTTAGAAAACTTGAAAAATATTGTTGTTTCTTTCATGATTTATGCTTAATTTGACTAATTTTATTGATTTATTTTCATTTAAGCACTTTAGAGGAATTTCATCTTTCAGCTTTCTTGGCCCCGGGAGTGCTCGGTCTCTGATCAGCAGGGGCATTTTCTCTATATAAGAAGAAAATGGAGACTCCCTACCCACCCGATGTATTTTGTCGGACAGTTTTCTGTACATTGCAGGTAAATTTTTTATTTATTAACTTTCCAGCCTCTTATTGTATAGTACATTTTGGGGGTTGAAGTCAGTTTTTGCTTTTCTTTAATTTAAAAAAAAAATTATTTAAATTCTCCTTTTCTTAGCATGAAATTCAAAAAGTAGCTTCTGATTGTAATGTATAAGACTACAGATATTGAACTTTGATTTGTTATCAAAAGGATTGATTTAAACTTGTCTAAATTAATTGTAAACAAAAATAAAAGGGGGCACCTGCTATTTCTTTAAGTGTTTTTCACTGGGGGGTGGGGAAACTTTTTTGTACATACTTAAGCAATAGGAGGGATTAGATAAGAATCAATTAGTATATCAGAGTCTTAAATAATTTACTTTGCATAAGCATAAAAAAATTCTATATCAGTCTTTTTAAAACCTTTGAATTTTGCTTAATTAACTATGATTTATCCAATTTTGGAGCTTTTTACCTAATTCTGGGTAGAATCCACCCTTATGAAATTATTGACTCAATTTTGACTTAATATCACTTTATTAACATTAAAACACAAAAACAATTCATTGTACAAATATTTTATTTATTACAGTCACCAATATATCCAAATATCATCACCGGCCCAGACGTCATTCACTCCTTTGAACTGTGCTGGTAGCAGTAAGGTGTCATCATTTGAGATGGTCACAGTATCCAATACACTGAAGTCACAGGACTCAAATTTCATACATGTTCACAGGTAGGTGTATAGTCTTTGAAATTACCACAATTGACTAATTCTGGGACAGGTAAGTATGTAAGTATAGGAATGAGAGCACCAAATCCCCGGATGCACACATGGCTTTGTTTGTTATGGAACATTAAACAGAATACTGAATGGGTAGGCGTTACGCCATTGGCTGAAATCAGGTATTTAATTGTTTTCATTTTAAAGTAAAATTAATGACCTTTGAAATAAATGATGGGATGAGGGAATATTACAGAAACTATAGAAATACCAGGGAAGATTTTAGGAGTGGGGGTTGATTTTTTATGCCGCGTGTTATTTACTGCGAATCTCTATAAGTTGAAAATAACTGCAATTTTGACCTATAAACGCCATGGGACCATATATTTTTTTCAGTATTTTTTGTTAGGGCTTAGAACAAAGTTTGAAATGATGCTAAAGATTTTTCTGAAATTGTCATAGTAAAGTACTGAGAGGGCCTAAGGTTTGTATGGAGTTCTATGGGAAAATAATTAGTGGTCTTTTCCCTATAGAGACCCCAATTTTTACACTTTAAAGTGATTTGAAAGTCATGAAATGTTATTTTTAGCTAATTATTTGAAGATTGATGACATTTCGAGAGAAAATTTAGCAAAAATTTGAATTAGTTTACTGCGGTAATGGGGTTAGTGGTGATTTGGGTCTATTGAAGAGAGAAGGGGGGGGGGGGGGTAAGAGAAGAGATAGAAATTAGTAAAGTCCTGTACAGTTGACATGGTCAAAGGAGGAAGGTAAGTTAAGAAAATGTATTAGATTGTTCTTAAGATGAATGATTGTATGTATGCATAGATTTATGTATGTATTTTGCATGTACATGTGACTGTGTATTTATTATGTTTTGCTCTATCTGTGTATATTATGGAAGTGTAGGACAGTGACCTGGTGTTCATTTTTTTTAGTTTCTTAGACTTTTGCACTTTTGGCATTTTTTCAAATAATTAAGGTGGCACATAAAAGGAATTTTTGTGATGGACAAGTGAAAGGAGGACATTTTCTGTCTTGTCATCTCATGTTTGGTAGTGTATGTGTTCCTCTGGATTGCCCCCCCCCCCCTTTCTTGGCTGCAGGGTGATCAATTTGTAGTTTTGTTGTTTCTATGTTGTAGCTACACAAAGGTCTATGTTTTCTCTTTTTTCGCTCTTTGTAGTTTCATCAGAATTACTCGCTGCGACTCACTTTCTAATGGTTTCTAGTTTTTGTACTTAGAGTTACTTCCCTTAGACCTGCTGACCAGACAGGTAGAATTTCAACATGATGATATCTTAACAGTTGTGACCTTTGGCTTCTGATTTTTTTTCATAAATTATTGTAATGACCTTGAACTGCATGTATGACATTTGACCTTTATTATATTTACATGTAATATTATGTAATATTGAAAAAACATGTATTCCACCCTTGGCGGATCCATTTTTCATACATTTAGCTATGTAGAAGACATGTAATTAAGGAAATTTTTAGAAAACTTGAAAAATATTGTTGTTTCTTTCATGATTTATGCTTAATTTGACTAATTTTATTGATTTATTTTCATTTAAGCACTTTAGAGGAATTTCATCTTTCAGCTTTCTTGGCCCCGGGAGTGCTCGGTCTCTGATCAGCAGGGGCATTTTCTCTATATAAGAAGAAAATGGAGACTCCCTACCCACCCGATGTATTTTGTCGGACAGTTTTCTGTACATTGCAGGTAAATTTTTTATTTATTAACTTTCCAGCCTCTTATTGTATAGTACATTTTGGGGGTTGAAGTCAGTTTTTGCTTTTCTTTAATTTTTAAAAAAAAAATTATTTAAATTCTCCTTTTCTTAGCATGAAATTCAAAAAGTAGCTTCTGATTGTAATGTATAAGACTACAGATATTGAACTTTGATTTGTTATCAAAAGGATTGATTTAAACTTGTCTAAATTAATTGTAAACAAAAATAAAAGGGGGCACCTGCTATTTCTTTAAGTGTTTTTCACTGGGGGGTGGGGAAACTTTTTTGTACATACTTAAGCAATAGGAGGGATTAGATAAGAATCAATTAGTATATCAGAGTCTTAAATAATTTACTTTGCATAAGCATAAAAAAATTCTATATCAGTCTTTTTAAAACCTTTGAATTTTGCTTAATTAACTATGATTTATCCAATTTTGGAGCTTTTTACCTAATTCTGGGTAGAATCCACCCTTATGAAATTATTGACTCAATTTTGACTTAATATCACTTTATTAACATTAAAACACAAAAACAGTTCATTGTACAAATATTTTATTTATTACAGTCACCAATATATCCAAATATCATCACCGGCCCAGACGTCATTCACTCCTTTGAATTGTGCTGGTAGCAGTAAGGTGTCATCATTTGAGATGGTCACAGTATCCAATACACTGAAGTCACAGGACTCAAATTTCATACATGTTCACAGGTAGGTGTATAGTCTTTGAAATTACCACAATTGACTAATTCTGGGACAGGTAAGTATGTAAGTATAGGAATGAGAGCACCAAATCCCCGGATGCACACATGGCTTTGTTTGTTATGGAACATTAAACAGAATACTGAATGGGTAGGCGTTACGCCATTGGCTGAAATCAGGTATTTAATTGTTTTCATTTTAAAGTAAAATTAATGACCTTTGAAATAAATGATGGGATGAGGGAATATTACAGAAACTATAGAAATACCAGGGAAGATTTTAGGAGTGGGGGTTGATTTTTTATGTCGCGTGTTATTTACTGCGAATCTCTATAAGTTGAAAATAACTGCAATTTTGACCTATAAACGCAATGGGACCATATATTTTTTTCAGTATTTTTTGTTAGGGCTTAGAACAAAGTTTGAAATGATGCTAAAGATTTTTCTGAAATTGTCATAGTAAAGTACTGAGAGGGCCTAAGGTTTGTATGGAGTTCTATGGGAAAATAATTAGTGGTCTTTTCCCTATAGAGACCCCAATTTTTACACTGTAAAGTGATTTGAAAGTCATGAAATGTTATTTTTAGCTAATTATTTGAAGATTGATGACATTTCGAGAGAAAATTTAGCAAAAATTTGAATTAGTTTACTGCGGTAATGGAGTTAGTGGTGATTTGGGTCTATTAAAGAGAGGAAGGGGGGGGGGGGTAAGAGAAGATAGAAATTAGTAAAGCCCTGTACAGTTGACATGGTCAAAGGAGGAAGGTAAGTTAAGAAAATGTATTAGATTGTTCTTAAGATGAATGATTGTATGTATGCATAGATTTATGTATGTATTTTGCATGTACATGTGACTGTGTATTTATTATGTTTTGCTCTATCTGTGTATATTATGGAAGTGTAGGACAGTGACCTGGTGTTCATTTTTTTTAGTTTCTTAGACTTTTGCACTTTTGGCATTTTTTCAAATAATTAAGGTGGCACATAAAAGGAATTTTTGTGATGGACAAGTGAAAGGAGGACATTTTCTGTCTTGTCATCTCATGTTTGGTAGTGTATGTGTTCCTCTGGATCCCCTTTCTAATGGTTTCCCCCCCCCCCCCCTTTCTTGGCTGCAGGGTGATCAATTTGTAGTTTTGTTGTTTCTATGTTGTAGCTACACAAAGGTCTATGTTTTCTCTTTTTTCGCTCTTTGTAGTTTCATCAGAATTACTCGCTGCGACTCACTTTCTAATGGTTTCTAGTTTTTGTACTTAGAGTTACTTCCCTTAGACCTGCTGACCAGACAGGTAGAATTTCAACATGATGATATCTTAACTGTTGTGACCTTTGGCTTCTGATTTTTTTTCATAAATTATTGTAATGACCTTGAACTGCATGTATGACATTTGACCTTTATTATATTTACATGTAATAATATGTAATATTGAAAAACATGTATTCCACCCTTGGCGGATCCATTTTTCATACATTTAGCTATGTAGAAGACATGTAATTAAGGAAATTTTTAGAAAACTTGAAAAATATTGTTGTTTCTTTCATGATTTATGCTTAATTTGACTAATTTTATTGATTTATTTTCATTTAAGCACTTTAGAGGAATTTCATCTTTCAGCTTTCTTGGCCCCGGGAGTGCTCGGTCTCTGATCAGCAGGGGCATTTTCTCTATATAAGAAGAAAATGGAGACTCCCTACCCACCCGATGTATTTTGTCGGACAGTTTTCTGTACATTGCAGGTAAATTTTTTATTTATTAACTTTCCAGCCTCTTATTGTATAGTACATTTTGGGGGTTGAAGTCAGTTTTTGCTTTTCTTTAATTTTTAAAAAAAATTATTTAAATTCTCCTTTTCTTAGCATGAAATTCAAAAAGTAGCTTCTGATTGTAATGTATAAGACTACAGATATTGAACTTTGATTTGTTATCAAAAGGATTGATTTACTCTTGTCTAAATTAATTGTAAACAAAAATAAAAGGGGGCACCTGCTATTTCTTTAAGTGTTTTTCACTGGGGGGTGGGGAAACTTTTTTGTACATACTTAAGCAATAGGAGGGATTAGATAAGAATCAATTAGTATATCAGAGTCTTAAATAATTTACTTTGCATAAGCATAAAAAAATTCTATATCAGTCTTTTTAAAACCTTTGAATTTTGCTTAATTAACTATGATTTATCCAATTTTGGAGCTTTTTACCTAATTCTGGGTAGAATCCACCCTTATGAAATTATTGACTCAATTTTGACTTAATATCACTTTATTAACATTAAAACACAAAAACAATTCATTGTACAAATATTTTATTTATTACAGTCACCAATATATCCAAATATCATCACCGGCCCAGACGTCATTCACTCCTTTGAACTGTGCTGGTAGCAGTAAGGTGTCATCATTTGAGATGGTCACAGTATCCAATACACTGAAGTCACAGGACTCAAATTTCATACATGTTCACAGGTAGGTGTATAGTCTTTGAAATTACCACAATTGACTAATTCTGGGACAGGTAAGTATGTAAGTATAGGAATGAGAGCACCAAATCCCCGGATGAACACATGGCTTTGTTTGTTATGGAACATTAAACAGAATACTGAATGGGTAGGCGTTACGCCATTGGCTGAAATCAGGTATTTAATTGTTTTCATTTTAAAGTAAAATTAATGACCTTTGAAATAAATGATGGGATGAGGGAATATTACAGAAACTATAGAAATACCAGGGAAGATTTTAGGAGTGGGGGTTGATTTTTTATGTCGCGTGTTATTTACTGCGAATCTCTATAAGTTGAAAATAACTGCAATTTTGACCTATAAACGCAATGGGACCATATATTTTTTTCAGTATTTTTTGTTAGGGCTTAGAACAAAGTTTGAAATGATGCTAAAGATTTTTCTGAAATTGTCATAGTAAAGTACTGAGAGGGCCTAAGGTTTGTATGGAGTTCTATGGGAAAATAATTAGTGGTCTTTTCCCTATAGAGACCCCAATTTTTACACTGTAAAGTGATTTGAAAGTCATGAAATGTTATTTTTAGCTAATTATTTGAAGATTGATGACATTTCGAGAGAAAATTTAGCAAAAATTTGAATTAGTTTACTGCGGTAATGGGGTTAGTGGTGATTTGGGTCTATTGAAGAGAGAAGGGGGGGGGGGGTAAGAGAAGATAGAAATTAGTAAAGCCCTGTACAGTTGACATGGTCAAAGGAGGAAGGTAAGTTAAGAAAATGTATTAGATTGTTCTTAAGATGAATGATTGTATGTATGCATAGATTTATGTATGTATTTTGCATGTACATGTGACTGACTGTTATTTATTATGTTTTGCTCTATCTGTGTATATTATGGAAGTGTAGGACAGTGACCTGGTGTTCATTTTTTTTAGTTTCTTAGACTTTTGCACTTTTGGCATTTTTTCAAATAATTAAGGTGGCACATAAAAGGAATTTTTGTGATGGACAAGTGAAAGGAGGACATTTTCTGTCTTGTCATCTCATGTTTGGTAGTGTATGTGTTCCTCTGGATTGCCCCCCCCCCCTTTCTTGGCTGCAGGGTGATCAATTTGTAGTTTTGTTGTTTCTATGTTGTAGCTACACAAAGGTCTATGTTTTCTCTTTTTTCGCTCTTTGTAGTTTCATCAGAATTACTCGCTGCGACTCACTTTCTAATGGTTTCTAGTTTTTGTACTTAGAGTTACTTCCCTTAGACCTGCTGACCAGACAGGTAGAATTTCAACATGATGATATCTTAACTGTTGTGACCTTTGGCTTCTGATTTTTTTTCATAAATTATTGTAATGACCTTGAACTGCATGTATGACATTTGACCTTTATTATATTTACATGTAATAATATGTAATATAGAAAAACATGTATTCCACCCTTGGCGGATCCATTTTTCATACATTTAGCTATGTAGAAGACATGTAATTAAGGAAATTTTTAGAAAACTTGAAAAATATTGTTGTTTCTTTCATGATTTATGCTTAATTTGACTAATTTTATTGATTTATTTTCATTTAAGCACTTTAGAGGAATTTCATCTTTCAGCTTTCTTGGCCCCGGGAGTGCTCGGTCTCTGATCAGCAGGGGCATTTTCTCTATATAAGAAGAAAATGGAGACTCCCTACCCACCCGATGTATTTTGTCGGACAGTTTTCTGTACATTGCAGGTAAATTTTTTATTTATTAACTTTCCAGCCTCTTATTGTATAGTACATTTTGGGGGTTGAAGTCAGTTTTTGCTTTTCTTTAATTTTTAAAAAAAAAATTATTTAAATTCTCCTTTTCTTAGCATGAAATTCAAAAAGTAGCTTCTGATTGTAATGTATAAGACTACAGATATTGAACTTTGATTTGTTATCAAAAGGATTGATTTACTCTTGTCTAAATTAATTGTAAACAAAAATAAAAGGGGGCACCTGCTATTTCTTTAAGTGTTTTTCACTGGGGGGTGGGGAAACTTTTTTGTACATACTTAAGCAATAGGAGGGATTAGATAAGAATCAATTAGTATATCAGAGTCTTAAATAATTTACTTTGCATAAGCATAAAAAAATTCTATATCAGTCTTTTTAAAACCTTTGAATTTTGCTTAATTAACTATGATTTATCCAATTTTGGAGCTTTTTACCTAATTCTGGGTAGAATCCACCCTTATGAAATTATTGACTCAATTTTGACTTAATATCACTTTATTAACATTAAAACACAAAAACAATTCATTGTACAAATATTTTATTTATTACAGTCACCAATATATCCAAATATCATCACCGGCCCAGACGTCATTCACTCCTTTGAACTGTGCTGGTAGCAGTAAGGTGTCATCATTTGAGATGGTCACAGTATCCAATACACTGAAGTCACAGGACTCAAATTTCATACATGTTCACAGGTAGGTGTATAGTCTTTGAAATTACCACAATTGACTAATTCTGGGACAGGTAAGTATGTAAGTATAGGAATGAGAGCACCAAATCCCCGGATGAACACATGGCTTTGTTTGGCTTTGTTTGCCATTTGAAATCAGGTATTTAATTGTTTTCATTAAACCTTTGAAATAAATGATGGGATGAGGGAATATTACTATAGAAATGAAGATTTTAATGGGATTTTTTATGTCGCGTGTTATTTACTGCGAATCTCTATAAGTTGAAAATAACTGCAATTTTGGCTGGGAATATATTTTTTTCAGGCTTATTTGAAATGATTGTTTTCATTTTAAAGTAAAATTAATTTTGAAATAAATGATGGGATGAGAAAATTTAGCAAAAATTTGAATTAGTTTACTGCGGTAATGGGGTTAGTGGTGACTATTAGTAAAGTCCTGTACAGTTGACATGGTCAAAGGAGGAAGGTAAGTTAAGAAAATGTATTAGATTGTTCTTAAGATGGATGATTGTATGTATGCATAGATTTATGTATGTATTTTGCATGTACATGTGACCGTGTATTTATTATGTTTTGCTCTATCTGTATATATTATGGAAGTGTAACCTGGTGTTCATTTTTTTTAGTTTCGACTTTTGCATCATTTTTTCAAATAATTAAGGTGGCACATAAAAGGAATTTTTGTGATGGACAAGTGAAAGGAGGACACTTGTCATCTCATGTTTGGTAGTGTATGTGTTCCTCTGGATTGCCCCCCCCCCCTTTCTTGGCTGCAGGGTGATCAGTTTGTAGTTTTGTTGTTTCTATGTTGTAGCTACACAAAGGTCTATGTTTTCTCTTTTTTCGCTATTTGTAGTTTCAAGAATTGACTCAAATGGTTTCTAATTATTAGAGTTTTCGAGAGAAAATTTACAAATGATGATTTTAAAGTTGTGACCTTTGGCTTATTTTTGCTAAATTATGTAATGGCATTATGACATTTGAATTTATTAATTTACATGTTTCTAAGAGAAAAAATTAGTAAAGCCCTGTACAGTTGACATGGTCAAAGGAGGAAGGTAAGTTAAGAAAATGTATTAGATTGTCCTTAAAATGAATGATTGTATGTATGAATAGATTTATGTATGTATTTTGCATGTACATGTGACTGTGTATTTATTATGTTTTGCTCTATCTGTGTATATTATGGAAGTGTAGGACAGTGACCTGGTGTTCATTTTTTTTAGTTTCTTAGACTTTTGCACATTTTTTCAAATAATTAATGCACATAAAAGGAATTTTTGTGATGGACAAGTGAAAGGAGACATTTTTTTTGTCATTATGTTTGGTAGTGTAGTTACTTCCCTTAGTTTTGTTGACCTGCTGTACCAGACTCACTTTCTAACAGTTTTTGTACTTAGAATTTCAACATGATGATATCTTAACAGTTGTGACCTTTGGCTTCTGATTTTTTTTCATAAATTATTGTAATGACCTTGAACTGCATGTATGACATTTGACCTTTATTATATTTACATGTAATATTATGTAATATTGAAAAAACATGTATTCCACCCTTGGCGGATCCATTTTTCATACATTTAGCTATTTACAAAAGGGGGGGGGGGGGCAATCCAGAAAAGGAACACATACACTACCAAACATGAGATGACAAGACAGAAAATGTTCCTTTCACTTGTCCATCACAAAAATTCCTTTTATGTGCCACCTTAATTATTTGAAAAAATGCCAAAAGTGCAAAAGTCCAAGAAACTAAGAAAAAATGAACACCAGGTCACTGTCCTACACTTCCATAATATACACAGATAGAGTAAATACATAATAAATACACAGTCACATGTACATGCAAAATACATACATAAATCTATGCATACATACAATCATTCATCTTAAGAACAATCTAATACATTTTCTTAACTTACCTTCCTCCTTTGACCATGTCAACTGTACAGGACTTTACTAATTTGTGTTTCTATCTTCTCTTACCCCCCCCCCCTCCTCTCTTCAATAGACCCAAATCACCACTAACCCCATTACCGCAGTAAACTAATTCAAATTTTTGCTAAATTTTCTCTCGAAATGTCATCAATCTTCAAATAATTAGCTAAAAATAACATTTCATGACTTTCAAATCACTTTACCCTGTAAAAATTGGGGTCTCTATAGGGAAAAGACCACTAATTATTTTCCCATAGAACTCCATACAAACCTTAGGCCCTCTCAGTACTTTACTATGACAATTTCAGAAAAATCTTTAGCATCATTTCAAACTTTGTTCTAAGCCCTAACAAAAAATACTGAAAAAAATATATGGTCCCATTGCGTTTATAGGTCAAAATTGCAGTTATTTTCAACTTATAGAGATTCGCAGTAAATAACACGCGGCATAAAAAATCAACCCCCACTCCTAAAATCTTCCCTGGTATTTCTATAGTTTCTGTAATATTCCCTCATCCCATCATTTATTTCAAAGGTCATTAATTTTACTTTAAAATGAAAACAATTAAATACCTGATTTCAGCCAATGGCGTAACGCCTACCCATTCAGTATTCTGTTTAATGTTCCATAACAAACAAAGCCATGTGTGCATCCGGGGATTTGGTGCTCTCATTCCTATACTTACATACTTACCTGTCCCAGAATTAGTCAATTGTGGTAATTTCAAAGACTATACACCTACCTGTGAACATGTATGAAATTTGAGTCCTGTGACTTCAGTGTATTGGATACTGTGACCATCTCAAATGATGACACCTTACTGCTACCAGCACAGTTCAAAGGAGTGAATGACGTCTGGGCCGGTGATGATATTTGGATATCTTGGTGACTGTAATAAATAAAATATTTGTACAATGAATTGTTTTTGTGTTTTAATGTTAATAAAGTGATATTAAGTCAAAATTGAGTCAATAATTTCATAAGGGTGGATTCTACCCAGAATTAGGTAAAAAGCTCCAAAATTGGATAAATCATAGTTAATTAAGCAAAATTCAAAGGTTTTAAAAAGACTGATATAGAATTTTTTTTATGCTTATGCAAAGTAAATTATTTAAGACTCTGATATACTAATTGATTCTTATCTAATCCCTCCTATTGCTTAAGTATGTACAAAAAAGTTTCCCCACCCCCCAGTGAAAAACACTTAAAGAAATAGCAGGTGCCCCCTTTTATTTTTGTTTACAATTAATTTAGACAAGTTTAAATCAATCCTTTTGATAACAAATCAAAGTTCAATGTCTGTAGTCTTATACATTACAATCAGAAGCTACTTTTCGAATTTTATGCTAAGAAAAGGAGAATTTAAATAATTTTTTTTAAAAATTAAAGAAAAGCAAAAACTGACTTCAACCCCCAAAATGTACTATACAATAAGAGGCTGGAAAGTTAATAAATAAAAAATTTACCTGCAATGTACAGAAAACTGTCCGACAAAATACATCGGGTGGGTAGGGAGTCTCCATTTTCTTCTTATATAGAGAAAATGCCCCTGCTGATCAGAGACCGAACACTCCCGGGGCCAAGAAAGCTGAAAGATGAAATTCCTCTAAAGTGCTTAAATGAAAATAAATCAATAAAATTAGTCAAATTAAGCATAAATCATGAAAGAAACAACAATATTTTTCAAGTTTTCTAAAAATTTCCTTAATTACATGTCTTCTACATAGCTAAATGTATGAAAAATGGATCCGCCAAGGGTGGAATACATGTTTTTTCAATATTACATAATATTACATGTAAATATAATAAAGGTCAAATGTCATACATGCAGTTCAAGGTCATTACAATAATTTATGAAAAAAAATCAGAAGCCAAAGGTCACAACTGTTAAGATATCATCATGTTGAAATTCTACCTGTCTGGTCAGCAGGTCTAAGGGAAGTAACTCTAAGTACAAAAACTAGAAACCATTAGAAAGTGAGTCGCAGCGAGTAATTCTGATGAAACTACAAAGAGCGAAAAAAGAGAAAACATAGACCTTTGTGTAGCTACAACATAGAAACAACAAAACTACAAACTGATCACCCTGCAGCCAAGACGGGGGGGGGGCAATCCAGAGGAACACATACACTACCAAACATGAGATGACAAGACAGAAAATGTCCTCCTTTCACTTGTCCATCACAAAAATTCCTTTTATGTGCCACCTTAATTATTTGAAAAAATGCCAAAAGTGCAAAAGTCTAAGAAACTAAAAAAAATGAACACCAGGTCACTGTCCTACACTTCCATAATATACACAGATAGAGCAAAACATAATAAATACACAGTCACATGTACATGCAAAATACATACATAAATCTATGCATACATACAATCATTCATCTTAAGAACAATCTAATACATTTTCTTAACTTACCTTCCTCCTTTGACCATGTCAACTGTACAGGACTTTACTAATTTCTATCTTCTCTTACCCCCCCCCCCCCTTCCTCTCTTTAATAGACCCAAATCACCACTAACTCCATTACCGCAGTAAACTAATTCAAATTTTTGCTAAATTTTCTCTCGAAATGTCATCAATCTTCAAATAATTAGCTAAAAATAACATTTCATGACTTTCAAATCACTTTAAAGTGTAAAAATTGGGGTCTCTATAGGGAAAAGACCACTAATTATTTTCCCATAGAACTCCATACAAACCTTAGGCCCTCTCAGTACTTTACTATGACAATTTCAGAAAAATCTTTAGCATCATTTCAAACTTTGTTCTAAGCCCTAACAAAAAATACTGAAAAAAATATATGGTCCCATTGCGTTTATAGGTCAAAATTGCAGTTATTTTCAACTTATAGAGATTCGCAGTAAATAACACGCGACATAAAAAATCAACCCCCACTCCTAAAATCTTCCCTGGTATTTCTATAGTTTCTGTAATATTCCCTCATCCCATCATTTATTTCAAAGGTCATTAATTTTACTTTAAAATGAAAAC